TTAAAATTGCGGCGAGGAAAAGCATAAAACATTCGAAACGGGGTTTCCAAATAGGGTAAAATAGCAATGGGTAAACTCACTGCAGCTTAAAGGTTTTGCCAATGCAGGTGATGTGGGAAACATTCAAATAACATCTGCTTTGCAGGTGTCATGAGCAGGGAAATTAATATAAAAATTTTATGAACTTATATGTCATGAGCAGGGAAATTAATATAAAAATTTAGCAGGGAAATTAATATAAAAATTTTATGAACTTATCCAAATTAAAATTTAATTTTAATTACTGTTATTAGTATAATTAGTTTTTCTTTAAGGAAAGAATTTTTATTGGAGGAGATTTAAATAGATATGTTGTTAGTGGTAAAAGATTTTAGAAATATTCATGACAACTACAGTTTTGGAGTGATTAATGAAGAAGGTAGAACCATATTAGATTTTATTTTAGCATGTGATTTTGTTATTGATATTACTTTATTTAAGAAAAAAGATGAGCATATTATCACTTATATGAATGGATCTAATAAAACACAAATTGATTAGTAAGCTCAAACTAGCATCTTACGCAAGTCTACTATGGAAGTTATTAGCAAATTGATTAATGAGCATCTTAGTAAATTCTTACAAATAGAGCCTCCTAAACTCTTATGAGAAAAAGATATATTCGATAATTTAAAGATTGTAAGGTCAATCCAAGTGAAAATTTAAGTAATTAACATTGATTATTAGTTTTGAATTTTAAGATGAAAAGTTCTGAGATAAAAAATACAATGAAATATTATCACAGAATCAAATAAGTGTACCTAAAAGTTACAAATAAAATTATTTTTATGAGTAAAGTTTAAGATTTCAAGTTTTGATGTGTTCATGAAGAAGTTAAATTCTATGTGAGAGAAAGTAACAAGAACTATTAAATAAATATCAAATGTTGTACTTAGAAAATCAAAAGGAAAAGTTTTTATAAATAAAAAAAATTGGTGGTGGAATAAAAGTTAAAATATAAGAAATTGTGCTATAAAAATTAGTTTAAATTTAAAATCTTAGAGAACTGCAGAAAATATAAGTTGGCCCATAGAGAGTCTAAGAGAACATTCTTTGACGCTAAGGATTCTGCTCTTATTGATCTTTATAATAGATTAGATACTAAATAGGATAAAAAAATATATGTATAAGCTAGCCAAACAAAATTTAAAAAAAAAATAAAAATTTAGTGTAAGTAAAGTATATTAAAGATGGAAATCAAAAAGTATTTTGCTTATAGTAAGGTATTCAACATGAATGAGCTATTTTCATTAATTTTTTAATAAAATTTCTGTAAATACGATCCATCTTAGTGATCTTATTATTTTTTATAATAATAAAGCATTTTATTTTTACTTGCGCATTGGTTATAAAAAACTTTAGGAGGCTTTAAAGAAAATCAATGATAAAAAATCAGTAGAACCTAATGATATCCCAATTGAAGCGTGGAAATATTTAGGATATTTGGGAGTTTCTTGGTTTACTAAACTCCTTATTTTAAAAACTAAAAAGATGTCTGAGTGGAGGAAAAGTATTTTGATTCTCATTTTTAAGAATAAAAGAGATGCACAAGAATGTGCAAATTATGAAGGAATTAAGTTAATGTGCATACTTTAAAATTATGGGAGAGGGTAATTGAACATATGTTAAGATGTGATACAAAGATTTCTCATAATAAGTTTGGATTTATGTCGAGCAAAGTTTTCACATGAGATGTTTGATGGAGAAGTGCAGAGAAAGAATGATCTACATATGATTTTTATTGATTTAGAAAAATTTTAAAAACTTACTATAAGGTTCAAAGAGAAGTTCTTTGGAAAGTTTTAGAGAAGAAAGATGTTTATATGACTTATATTCAAGTCTAAAGATATGTATACTAGAGTTGTTATTTGTGTTCTAACGCTAGGAAGATTGACAAAGTATTTTTATGTATTTCTTATTTCAGTTTGATTACATCATGGATCGGCTTTAAGCCTATATCTTTTTTGCTTTAGTGTTGGATGCTCTGTTGGATGCTCTTACTGGACATATCTAATCATTAAAAGTGAACATTTTAGAATGTCTTGGGTCTATTGTGCAAGTTGATGATGATATAGATGCGGATGTTATTAGTAGAATTCAAGTTGGTTGGTTGAAGTGGAGGAATGCATCAGGTCTATTGTGTGATAGAAAAGTACCGCTTAGGCTTGAAGGAAAATTTTATAAGATGCTTATGAGATCTGCAATGATTTATGGTGCATAATATTAATTTTTAAAAGAGAAGCGTAAAATAAAGTTAAGTGTTGCTGACATGAGAATGCTTAGGTGGATGACTGGCTTGACAATTAGAGATAAAATGTGAAACAAATCTTTCCGTGAAAGGGTTGGTGTAGCTCCAATGGCTGACAAGATTTTAGAGTCGTCTTAGATGGTTTGGTCACATTAAATGTTGACCATCTAAGTAATCCAGTTAGGAGAGTAGGTGTTTTAGATTCAACTTATGTTAAGAAAGGCAAAGGATGGCTAAAGGATGGCCTAAAAAGACTTAGGCATATTGGATAAAAAATTATGTTAATTTATTAGAAATAAATGAAAATATGACACTCAATAGAACTCAATGGAGAAAAAGGACTAATGCAGCCGACCCCACTTAGCGAGATAAAGGCTTGTTGTTGTTGTATAAAAGGTTATGTTATTACATTTGTATCAATTAGAAATGCCACATAAGGAGAGGATGAAAATTCACTTGCAAGAAATAATAAATATCAATGGAGAGTTTGCACATATTTATCTTTTAATAAATAATAATTATTATGATAATAAAATAAATAAATATATAAAATGAATATATGCAAAAAAACAAAATAAAATTTTGATGATAGAAGTTTATGAAAAACATAACCTTAAAAAAAGGTATTCACCATAACCAGGTTCTATTTTACCATCTCTACTACCTTGAAGCACAGGCCACACCCTCGTCCCCAAAACAACCAATAGAAAAGAGTAATGATAATAATATTAATAACAACAAAGTTAGGCTCTTTGTAGAAAGATTATTGAAGAAAAGGGGGTATGACCCCCTTCAGATAATTAATAAAATTAGTTTCCTATGACTAACCCCTCAGTCATCCCAACACTCTTCCACATTTGCATAAGCCACTCCTAAGCCCCACCGTCGGCTCACAATTTCTCTTCCTCTATACTCTTCTCCCATTCATCCGACATAGGTATATAGAGTGGTCTTATCGGCTTGCAAAATGCTTGTAAGCATCTTTTTTTATGTGACTGGGAAACTGTATTGTTATGTTATAAGTTTTACCATGCAAAAAACTCTAGAACATCTGTCCACACCTTCCGTTGTGTGCTAATACGGATATAACCCAACCAGGTTTCTCTTTCTGATGTGGTGTATGGAAAAATATGAGTAGCTTTATCTTGTATACTTGGTGGTTAGGCTTGACATACTTCCTAGTACCCCTATGTGGAGGTGATGCAAAAACATTGCATAAATGCACTTTAAAGTTGAACTAAAATGCTTTTGGAACAAATAAAGCATGAAAAAAATTGAAAAGAATGGGTAAAATGCGAAGTTAAAATAAAAGATACTAAAAAAATGTGATGCAATTCATGTATAAAGAAAAAATAACCTAAAAATAGATTTACATGGACTTTTTTTTCTTTTCAGTGAACACAAGTAGAATCACTTAGTAGTTTCTTGGTATAATTTGGACTTGATACGTGACACAAATGTGCATACGCGTTTAAAACTCGTCTAAGCCCAACTTGAGCAAGTGTATGAACAAAAATAACATCATTTTGAGTACTCTTTAAAAAATCACTTGTGCTCACAAGTAAACCTCTAAACAAACTTATAAATGAAAAAAAATGAGCTCGTATGTGCGCATCAAAATGTGTATACGTGCGTAATAAAAATCATTCAAACAAGCAAAATGCAATCAATTTGCACCATGGAGAAGCTGCACAAGCATTCCACTGATATTGTAACTGCCAATAGACATTATGGTCTGAGTCCGTTATATAATAAAAAGAATAATTCAATAAAACTGACTCCTTGCACATGCTTCAACTTCTCACTCTTCTCCCAATCAGTAGGCTCACTCTCCACAAGCATGTTGACTATCTCAAAACCCTTTTTCCTCTCGTCTCAAGCCGATGTCCTGCATAGGTATGTAGAACAATCTTGTCATCTTGCATGAGTTCCATGTGCATCTTTCTTTCCATGGTGAGGAAATTATATCGTGTTTATTTTATTTTATTTTAATTAATTAATTTTTTTTTTTTTTTTGTTTAGGGGAATTTAAAGGGTCATTCATACATACCTTTTTTTTAATGTGGAGGACATAGAGACAACTCATCTTGGTACTCAAGACAATACCCATACACATTTTTCTTAATGCATTGTTGAAAAAAGTAGCTGTTATTGTTGGCTCAAAACAACCCATAGACCCCATTTTTAGTGTGATGTGTAGGTCCGGCATTCTTCTCACTACCCCTACTTGTTCTTGGTGTGTAATGATATAATTCACTTAAAAGATAGCTGTGTATTGTCTTATATAATTTTGTATATACATTTTTAAAATTTAAAAATATAAGGCGGAATCACTTAAATTTTGGCTTAAATTTTCTTAGCCACATTCTACAATTAAAATTTATATTTTGTTCATTTATTTTTCTTATTTTATTCGGGCATGATATCCTTCTAACTTTTCCTTACTCTTTGTGGAATTTTTTTCATTAGTTCCAAGGCACCTAAGAGTGAATAGATTTTTTGTTGGTTTTCTATAATAACGAGCTTATAGATTTCTAGCATATATATCTCTCTTTCTGTCACAGCTTTTAGTAGCTTCATTGAACTATGATAATCTTAGCTGTTGTTTTGTTTACAAGGTAATTTTGTAATTTAACTTGTACATTATATTTGTTTCTATCAAATTCTTTGTCCAAATCATAATTCTTATGTCTTCCATATCCTACATTGAAAGGGAACATCGGACGTCCGAGAAAACCCTGCGGGTTCATCTACAAGAAATCAAAGTTCAGGTTAGTGTTCAACGTTTCATTTAACTCCATTTCTGGCAGATCACCAAACAATAAGAATTACGTGCCCAACTTGATGATATTTTTTTAACACTTTATATTTCTTCAATTCTAGGATGGAAGAAACATGTTAGTTTAACATATTGTTTTCTTTTCTTTTTATTCTCAGGCACCCTGCAAAATAGTCGTACTCTGGTAAAGTTTCCCCTTATTAAATTCTGGCTTTGTTCTAGTTTTTAATAAATTTTGTGCTATGCTTTTTTTTTTTTTTTTTTTTTTTTTTTTTCATCTAGTTATGGTAATTTTCCTTGCTGTTCATAATGGATGGAACAGCATTTGACTATTTCCATACAAATTAATGGATCAATTATCATTCTTCTCATATCCTTACTTTTTTCAATCTTTGTCTTAATCAGTCTGAATTTTGCAGAAAATTTTATCTTATATCATCTTTTGCTTGTGTTTTTCTTTTGGGTCATTCATCTGTTGTCACCTTGTTCTATTGAAATCCATGTTTATTATTACAAAGAGTTTTCTAATTTTTAGATATACATCCATTAACTATATCAATCAATATTTTGTTCGGTGTATATATAGAAACTTTCAATTGAACGTGAACAATTATGAAGCACCTTCTCAAACAAACTTTCATGTCCTGGCTTTTTTGTAAACAGTTATTACATGGCCTGGCTTAAATTAAATTCTTAGTTGAAACATGCTAGCTTAAGATTGTATCAGATATATCTACATTATTTTAAACAAATATTTGTGCTTTTACCAATATGTGTATTCATGTATATATCAATCGCTACGTATTTTACATATGTATCAATAAATGTGAGCTTGCATTTGCTTTGGCTTAAAAATTTGTCTTAGAGGATTGAAAATCATTTGAACCGGACCAATTTTGACTTCAATTGAACTTCAAAAAAAATTAATGAGCCATTCCTGCCTTTAATCGAGATCAAATAAAGCCAATAGTGATGTCTAGTTTAGTTCAAGATCAAATCAAACGGCTTTGAGCCTATCCTTAATCGAGTTTAAATTGAGTAGAGACATCATTCACAATACTATTCTTAGCATGAGCTTCGATGAGCCCATGCAAAATGTAAAACAAGAAGTTTCCAAAACATGCTGACGTGAATTTATGTAGCACATATTGAATTTTAATTTGCAGTAAGCATTACTTTGTTAAAAGAGGTTTATCAATATTCTTATGATCAGGCTGCCTACTTATCTTTAATGACTGAAAAAATTAGTGAGATTTAAAGAGGCACCTTTCACCTGTGATCCCATATATATATATATATACGTACTCAGATCAGTTGGTCGGGCATCTGCTTGTCAGTTGTACGTTTCCTCTGGTCTGGGGTTCGATTCCCCCCAAGTGTAGGGTGTGGTACTCAAATTCTTAGGCGCATGAGAGATGACCGGGGCTCGTATAATAACCTCCGGTCATTTCTTTGGGGAATATATATAGATAGATAGATAGATGGATGGATAGATAGATAGATGGATGGATGGATAGATAGATGGATGGATGGATAGATAGATAGATATTTTTGACACTTCATTGGTTTTGATCTAGACTGCTGATTTGGAGCCCAAAGTTGCTAAGCTTGTGGAGCTTGGATTTGATCCAGAGGCGGCTAAGCAGGCTCTCAGGCTCTTCAATGGCAATGAAGAGCAAGCAGCTGCATATCTCTTCGGAGGTTAAGCTCTAACCATACAAAACTTCGTGCACGAATTGTTCACCGAATTCATCTCATTGGTGGCCCACATTTATTTGTTAAATTAATTGCATGAAGTTCTCCATTACTAAAACACTTAACCAGACTAGTTTTGATAAATCTTTTTACGTTTCTGTTGTTTTTAATATATATTATTTATGTACGCACACTTCATTGTTGTCTCCATTGTAATAAAGGCAGATCCTAACTTTATTGTTGCATGTTTTACAAAGAGTGGAATAGAGTCTTTTTTTTATGGGATATTTACACACATATCATACCATTTTTATGTATTTACACATGTAACATCTAAAGGTTGATATTTACATTTATAATGTTTTGGTATTTAGTTTTAAAAAAAATTCTTATGGCTATCAAATTAGCATATTTTATTGCATTATGTTTGGCAATAGTATAGTCTTTCAAGCCACTAATATATTTATTTTGCTGGCTATTATCAAATAGTTCAGCTCAAGTATTGAGCAAAATACTTTTGAATCTTATTAAAAAAAAATGTTATTTTTCAGTTAGAATGTTTAGCATGATAAAATGATTGAAGCTTTTAAGGGTTTTTGAACAACTTATGGATCAATCAAGAATCACAAGTTAGAAGACATAAAAGGTAAATACATATTTTTCTTTAATTTCCATAAATAAAATAATCAAAATCGAATAAAAAGGGAGGTTCAAATTTCTCTTCTGGGATTAATGAAAAAAATGAAAAGGTAGCCTCATGATGTGATAAATGTTTTTTTTTTTTTTTGTCCTAAGATTAAACATTATTAAACAAAGAGAACGGGTCAACATTATTAAACCAAGAGAAAGGGAAGATTTAATTTCTCTCTCGATGTGTTTGGTGTGGTGGTTTTTTCAAATTGTTATAAAGTTGCTTCTTAGAGAAGCAGTTTTTTAGGAGCTGTCAGGAAGTTGTTGATGAAGAAGCATGTGTCTGCTTGGGAGATCTGTTGTGTTTTTGTTAGTTTTGATGAGAAAGATTGTTATGTCTTTATATATGTAATATATTGAAATAAGTGCAGTTTTGATAATATTTAAAATTAAATAACAGAAAAATATAGTGCTAAAAAAACTAACAGTCCAATCTAAAATACTTTAATATATAAAATTTGAATTAGTTATTTGAAGCAAATAACTACAATAATAAATACAACAATGGTAATCAACAAGCTTAGAATGATGTTTGTCTTGAGATTCGGATGAGCAAGTCCTTGCGACAATATCCTCTCCATCTCTACATCTCTCCTCAACTGATCACGGTTTGCCCAATGAAAGTAACTGCAATGTGCAGGTGTCATGTTTTTGGGACAAGAATAAAATCTTCTCTCGTAGCTATCGTCCCTCTTGGATCGGTACTAAACGCACCTATCATCACAATAACAGAGTGGAACTTTTGAAGTGCTTGATTATAGCTCTAATTCAAAATTTAAGTTGCTATAACATTCAAGAAATTCTAAAAAAATAAATAAGTTGCCTTAATATTAATAATTAAAGTTAATCAGTGCACAAAAAAAAGGCACAACACAGGTTGTTATATATATTTTGAAAAAATACATCCAGAGAAATCATAGAGATGAAATATGAATCAAAAATTACAAATAAGTAGGTAATGCTATATAAGTAAGGTCGTTGCATTCACTAAAGTATCAGTAATCTCCTCTCAACTGCAACATCTTCTCGTCATCTTCTCCCTTAGAAGTGTTGTACTTGTTTGTCCTGCATTCCTCTTCTTGCACCGAAGGTCCGACTTGATGTTGGTTATCTTCCTTAGGCATGTAGGTAGGATCATCATCTAGGACTCTGGAATCGATTTCATCTCGAGATGCATGCCTCTGTATAAAATTATAGAGCGGAATTGCAACAACTATCTTCACCTATTTTTTGAAAGAATATGTAAGCATATCTCAGAGTTTGACTCACTTCTTTTTCCATGAACCAAATGCTCACTCGATGACACGGCGTAATGACGAGTGTCTTTTGTTGAAGAGTTCATTCCTCTCATTAATCACTTGGTTGATGCGCTTAGTTTGACCCGCTTCTTCTTCCATAAACCAAATGCTTGTTTAATGACACTGCATAATGATGAGTGTCTTTTGTTGAAGAACTCATTCCTACCATTAATCACTTCGTTGATGCACTCAAAATTAGGCAGGTTATATCTCGTGTCGAGAAATGACATCAAAAAACTCTGTTGCAGTGGTTATCCCGAATATACAAGATAATACTTTTCTAGATAATGACAACATTAGTGGGTTAATTTAAATGAAAATATAATAGTGATAAATTACTTAAATGCACCAACCTTACGAAGGCATAGAGAATTTGTATTCAAGTAGGGTTGTAAACTTAAATATTTTGCAGTCGTTTGCACTGTTTTCCCAACCAACCATCTTGAATGTAAAATGCATATTGAAATCACATAGTGTTAATATATTTTGTGTAGCGGCTCCAAACTTATCGATATAGACTATCTTTTCGCAGACCTTATTATAAAAAATAACACGTTGTAGGCTATTTATAAATTTTCTTTAATTTATTGAAGTACAAATAGAAAGTGAGATCAATACTTTGAAAAATTACATGTAGTTATGATAGCAACGGATTTCCTGAGGTGTTTGAGTAAAATATGGGTCTAGTGGTTTGAAGATGTTTGTAGCCATTTTACCCAATGAGTTAACCCTAACGTAGAAATACCTACTGATCATCTTCATAGAGTGTTGGAAATGCTCAGAAACAGCATGAATGGACTCATTGTGGGACATAATGAAGAGTGTGATAGTTAGGACTTCTCGGGATGTAAATTGCAATAATCCATGCAAACCATATTTAGATTGTAATTCATCTAATAAATCACTAAAAATATCTTTAACATTCGGAACAAGATGTGAATCTGGCCTGTATGAGCTTCCATTAGTTCACCAACCCATTTGTCACTCACAAATAACGATGACACAAGATGTCTTAAAAATATGTCTTCGGTAGTACTCATGAATCTGACAAACTGTGTTGGTAATGACTGTCATTTGTTCAACTATCTTTACAATCTCCTCTTCATTTGGTGGCTCCATTTGTATGAAAGAATAATATTAAGCTTATTTCAAAAGTTATTCTCGATGCAGATAAATGCTTAACTTGTGTGCAATGAAAGTAGTTTAACTATAAAAATCCATAAATAATGAAACTTCAGAAAAAATACACACAAGTCATAGTTTATAATATAAATGTCAAATACTATAAATAGTCACTCTACTATAGTAGCAACAAGTAAAAAAAATGTGCATGTCATCCAACTAGTTTTACCTCTTTAAAAATAACGAAGGTAAGGAATCCTCCATTTAGGGAGCAGCATGAAAAAATTCTCTTGCTTGTTTCGACCATCTAGAAGTTTTGCGGCAAATAAGTAGAGGGGTATGTCATCAAAAATTTATGGAATTGAGTTGAGTAGCTTGACAACATCATTGTTGGGTATGCATAGAGAGTGGTGCGGGCACTTGAAGTAATACTGGTGCAATTTGTCACCAACTATAACAAACTCTAGTTTTCTTTTTCCCTTTTTTTGATATCCAAGTTAAGGGTTAGCTCTTCTGTTATAGCCCTGTCGGCACTATTTTTGGTGTGTGGTTTGCCCGTAAGAAGCTGTCGGTCATCGGAATTGAAATCCCGATGCCCGCTTCGGAATGACGTTTTAAAAATTTTAGTTTTGAAAAAGATGAAGTAAAACTGATCCCATAATTTTCATAGTTTAGATGAAGGAGCGCTTTACCTCAAATCCTGTATCTATCCCGAAGGGTGAACACAAGAGTTGAGGGTGAGGCTCGATCAAATAAACTAGAGAAAGTTATGACA